AAGTAGATATTCAGGGTAAACCTTTAGCCAAAGGCTTATAAACAAAAAAGCAATACGTGGTCTTGACGGGTTGCAATGCAAAAAGAAAAAGGAAATAATCTAAGTGCTACTAGTATAGCACACAGAAACAGAAATTATCTTTTTCGACGAGATTATTTCATAATCCCAAAGATATTGAAAATTACGTAGCTAAAATGTCATATATCTCCAGAGCTAAGACAAGTATTAAATGGTTCCAAAAAGTTTCTCTCGCGATGGGGTTAGGCGCGATTCGCAAAAGTCAAGCATCAAATTAAATTTTTCAATAAAAGGGCCAAAAACTTCGAATATTATCTTAGTATCGCATTTATAGGCCATCTGATCTTAATGCAGTGCAAATATCTGGAAATGGAAAAAGCGAGAAATTCGTAAAGCTAGTGAAAAAAATTTTTCCCCGGGTTTTATCTCAGCGGAAATTTTGCCCCAATCTTCTTTATACTTTGACTCATCGGATAAGAGAGTTTGGGGCTGTATGACAAGCAAACTAGGTAACATAAATAACATGACCTTGGATAATTTCAAAAAGGATTTAACAAAAGTATGGGACAAAATATTAAACGAACTCGACCTGCGAAAACCTTCTCACATGTTTAAAGGAAGTCCTGCAAATCAAGAGGACGAGGATTGAAATTAACGCTTAAAATATGTCGTAAATAGTTTATATTTTTATGAATGAATCATTAATTAATCGATTAAAGCTAATCACATCGTAATTCAAAAAACTAAGTGCGACAGTTATTATTTTACACGATGTAAATGAGTTCGTGGTAAAAAGAAAAAAATTATAAAATTTGATATCCATATAATGGATCCGCCATTTTAAAATCTAAAAATCTGGCATTGGATTCGAAATCAGCGACCTCGAAAACCCCCCTTATATAAAAAATTTTGATGAAAAGAAAAATTATAAAATTTGGTCGCCATATTCGATACGCCATTTTGAATTTAAAAAATCTGACATCCAATTCGAAACCAGCGACCACAAAAACCCCCAAACACCAGGTTTCAAATCAAAGTGGTTACCCCTGGACTTTTGGCTATCAAATAGTAGTCGGCAGACCATAGTGCGTCGGCCTTCGTAACTCTTTCCAAAATATTAAGTTTTCACGAAAGCGTCCTATCTAATATCAGACCCAGATATTTAACATTCTCCTTTAAAGCAATATCCACACCTTTGAAAATTAGCGTGGAGACTGCAGGGAGCATGTGCTTCCTTGCGAAGAGAATTACTTCATTTTTATCGGCATTTATTCTGAGTCCCCTACTCTCTGTCCAACTTCTAAGCGTGGCCCTTTAGGATATATGTGGAGACAAATGTAGAATACGACAAAATTTTACTAAAGAAAATGCTTCGTAAACTAAAAAGCAATTAAGAACAAAAATAAAATAATTTAAGAAATTCGAAAACTAGTAACATTCTCAGAGACTTGCGAGAAAAGCAATCGTCGCGTTTTTGAGAAATTGCAGTCCAAACTTCAATCGCGATCTCCCCAAAAAAATCTGCCAATCTTTTAACCAGGCGACGATATGTATGTACTATGCCTTATTTACATTATTCCAGTAGCAAACCTTTTATGCCTTATTTACATTAGTCCAGTATCCTCACTGCATCGCCACTGTAGTGTTCATTTCAGTGGTTTTTAAATAACAAAATTGATGTACAGAGTCGTAGTTTCAGACCACTGGATGAGCATGCTACTGGAATACTGTAAACGGGGCATTGCTGTTTTGTATTTCCTAGTTGCTAAATTGCAAAAACTGTTCTCTTCCGAAATAATTTCTTGTATTTTGGACATAAATTGGAGTAATATTCTTAACTCAGGGGATGTGAGTGAATGTTTTGAAACTTTCCTACTCCAACTAACTGATATTTTCTCTCTCAAGCCCTGTTGTTGTTGTAGCAGCATACAAATTCCCCAAAGACTTTTTGGGGAGTGTTGCTGGAGTGACAGTCCTTGGCCAGATATAAATCTGGGTCGTTCCGGTTACGTAGGCCCGACTGTCGTGGGAACGCCTCAAGCCCTCTTTAATTCTGCCTAGGATTCATAAATCGCTTTGGTTTCTAATAAGCCCAAAAATTTTAGAAACAAAAGAAACAAGTATCATAATCTATATAAACTTAATAATTACATCATGAATCTAAAAGAAAAATATCTTAATTTCATAAAAAATTGAATTTTCTTGACAATTTCGTTTACAGCAAATACATCGTTTTACTCTAATATACCAACCTGAATGAGCTTAAATGACATTAGCTTTCAATCATTAGCTAATCGAGTAAAATTTTCAACTGAATCTTTCAAATCTCACTTTGCCGTTGATGGAGATATTGCTTATACATACGCCCATTTGCCTCGGTGTATCACAATGTTTTAGACTTTGAGTCACTCTCCATAACCGAATCAGATCTTATGATTGCTATTTCTAGCCAAATTCGTCTTTAAAATATATTATTGTGTCTTTGTCTTTGTGCTTATTTTGTGAAACATTTCAATTCTTCTATTAGCATAGCTCTATGTATTATTTTCAATCTTGCTTTATCTACTGGTATGTTTTATGGCAGCAAAAATGATTGGGTGGTTCACAAGGTGTCGTACTTGTCGTATTGTTGTATGTTGTAAAGTTTTTAACGGCTAAATAAATGTTTAGAGGACTTCAAATCACCACCAACTATTTTTTAATTGTGTGAAATTTCATAATAAAACTTTTATGTTACCTTGCGAATTCCTTAAATATAGTTTTAGCCTTTAAAAGTTTATGACATACAACAGCACGACAGTATACAACACCATGTGAACTCCCAAGATGTAACAATCTATAGATCTCTTTCTAAGTAAGCGGTTTGCTCTAAACTCTTCGAAAAGTTGGTTAGCTTTAAACATTAAAAAATGTTTCCCTTTGACCATATCTATTCCTTCATCATACAACATCTTAAATAATCGGCTCAACACTTTTAAAGACTTCATCGACTTAGGCTGTTAAAAACTTAGCTTTTCTGTGTAGATATGTGAATTATTTTAGAAACTCTATACCAGGTAATTTTACTTTACAAATTCATTTAACCTTGAATTTGCAGTTGAATTGAAAGAGTACAAAATTCATTCTATTTGCTGTTCAACCTCTTAACTTATCTTAGCCCCTTCCATCTTATAAGGCTCGTTGCAGGCTTAGCAATCTGAACTCGCTAGAAAATAGCAGAACTGCCAGTAACTAATGTTTGTTTTCCATCCGACCTCTGGTAGCATTGACCCCCTGGCCTTCCGGGCCTGGGTACTGCTTAATGGTCCTTGTCTTAATTGACAAGTTTTTTGTATTACGTATTGCAACAAACGTCGAAACCTAGCAGCTATTCCATTACTATATTTTGGTGAGAAACCTATCAAATTCGTGCCAAAAGTAACTACCCTGGGGTTTATTATTAATACCGGTTTTAAATGCATTGACCGTGTGAATTCAACAGCAAGCAAAGTCTATTACACTAGAAGGAACGTTCCCACGACAGTCGGGTCTACGTAACCGGAACGACCCAGACTTACATATACCTGGCCAAGGACTGTCAATCCACCAACACTCCCCAAAAACTCTTTGGGGAATTTGTATGCTGCTACAACAACAACAACACTAGAAGGAATTTACGGATGTCTGCTCCATTCACACTAATTGAATCAGACGTAAACTCGCAATCCAACTCATTATGCCAATTATCTGTTATTCTGAGGTAATCTATAGCAGGTAAGATTCCAAATAAGCTCACAAAATAGATGTAGTATTTAACCAGATTAAGCGCTATGTGTTTGGACTACCAAAATATGAGCATATTTTTGCTTGAAGAACGCGCCTACTTAACTACGAAATTCCTGAATATCTTAATACTTGAAATTGTAGATTTCTTTTTCATCTCATGACGATTAAGGCATCCAAATATTGTTTAAAAAACTAGCGTTCTCCAAAACACCTCGAGTAAACGACTTGGCTGTTCCCACGTTTACCTATTATTTGTCAATGCCATCCGCATCTGGAACTCTATTCCATCTCATATTCGCAGTAGTTTAAACAAAAGCAACTCTAAAATGTTCTGCATGCGAAGTAGCCTAACTTCAGTCCCTGAGATGTGTTCACTATGTACTTATTTAATTAAGTGTTATTATATGTCCCGGAATTGAAAAACTCACTTGAAAATAATACTTTCTTTGTTACTTATCTAATGTTACTTATATTTAGTTTTAAACAAATTTCATCGTTTAAGTTATACTATGTATATGTACTGTTATGAATATTTTGCTGCACTATGAAAGATATTTATTGAGCTAATGGTTCGATTAATATAATTAAATAAAAAATTATATATTGTATTTGTTGAAATTTTTCTAATCCAACTTAAAATATGTCCTGAGATATCCTTGCACAGTTAAAAATTAATGTAAACTTTTTAACTTTTGATTCAATATACATATCGTCACCTGAAAAAGCAAAAGCTGCAACCCACATCGCCACTGAAATGCAAATAGTCGTAACTTATAATTTTTTTTTTCCATTTCAGGTGACGATATGTATATAAATATTCAACACCGGTCCACTATATGAACTAGATAACTTATACTACAATAAATTTCAGAAACGTATATTATTTAAAAACTGGCTTTGTATTAAAAGTAAACTAGTAATTTTTAGCAAAAACAAAACCGACTTCAACTCCCATATAAAAAAAAAAATATATATATATATATCTCATGATCCGCTGATCGGATCTTAACCAGATTAGTATGGGACCACCTCTGAGACACTACCTTTCCGATGCAAAAAGTATTATCGAAATCGGTTGATGTGGTCCAAAGTTATGCGGTAACATACATAAAAAAAAAAAAAAAATATTCCGACGAACTGATAACCTCCTCCTTTTTTGGAAGTCGGTTAAAAAATAATAATTAAAAAAACTGTAATGAAATAATCTATGTATTTACCTTAAAGCCTTCGGAAAAGCTTTTGTGCTCTTTGTCTTTGTGTGCATCATCTATTTCACATTTATTAAGCGTGTACACGAGTTTCGCTTCCTCCCCTTCTTCTTCAATGACTGTAAATTTAAGGAATTCATTACAATTCTTGTTTAAATACAAGAACTAAGTAAAATATGCTGACATACCAGAATCATCACGAACAAAATATGTATTAAACCAGAAATGAAATAATTTCTTTTTATGTGTAAGCTCCACTTTAATGTCACCAGCCACGCATAGCGAATGATTTTTTAGATCCAATGTGTAACTTTTTCGAAAATCGATTGGCAATCCCAGCAAAGGCTAAGAAAAACCCAAGAAACAATTACAAAAAAATGCACATTGAGTTTAAGATTTAATTCGGATTTCTCTTAAAAATTGTATACAAACTTTACACATACCATTACTTTAACCGAACATCCATTATCTTCCAACACGGAAATTGAGCAATGCACTGTGCCATGACTATGCAACAAATTAGCCTCAGTAAAACGAATTTCACAAAACTGAAATGTGTTTTAAAAAATTGTGAATTGAGTCAGTTTAGAAGAAAAAATATATGTATACATATATACTTCAAACTGTTTCAACTTACCTGCAGAATACGCTTTTCATATGTTACACCAGATCGTATTAATTTTGCGAAATACTGTACATACCGTCTTTGCGATGGAATCGTTACACCTTTGCGATCCTTTGTGCGCTTTTCAGCATAGCATTCTAGAGCATCTTCGGCAGTTTGCTGTTGTCCGCTATACAGCAGATAGCAACAAATCATTGTACCTAAATATGAACATAATTTATACATTAGTTTACTTTATGCTTTAAATTATGTAGGTATGAGTTAAAATGTTTTACCAGTTCTGCCTTTGCCCGCCTTACAGTGTACAGCAGCCACATTTTGGCTATCTGCTTTTAGCCAAGTATCGACATCCGCACAAAATCTTTGTATCAATTCTATCGTTGGTGGGTTATGATCCTCAAATGGATAAACAGCAACTCTCTGTAGTAAAAAATTAATTAAATTAGTAATATATATGTGTTCATAAATTTTTGCAGCTTACTCCATGAAATTTATTGCTATCATAGCTACGCTCAAGGCAGAGATTATAAATTTTATAATGATTCTGATGAATTTCCTGGAGAAATTTGTAAACATCTTCCAATCGATTTCGAAATATACTCTCTATATTGTCTGCCGGATAACCCATTGCAATTATATTGTCGCATATATCTAAAGAATAAGTGTAAATTTGCATTGGAGGTATTTAGGATGAAGAATTAGCATCAGTAATAAACGAAATACAAACTTACAGGCCAAGTCTAAATTATATCCATTCTCCTTGTAGCGTATACGCTGCTTGCTGACAACATTCCGCAAAACGTTCGTCATGACGGAAAGCGTATTTGCCATCTTAAGCTTAAACTTATGAAAATTGATGCCACTTGATGCGGCACCACAAATCCTTTCGGATTCCTTTAACTTCGCCGTGACCGTCACGAAGCTTTTCTATTATTAAAGGACTTGTGAATTTTCAATACTATTCAAATATTTTGTTGTTTTTGTTGTTGGTGCGGTTTCAGATATTGCTCTCTCTCCCTATTAATATGCTATTGGGGCGCTTATTAACAAATGTCATCGGCCTATTTAAACATATATACTTATATCATTCGTTATTTTTTATAGTTGATTTAAAACGATGGGATATCATAAGTGTAAGTTATCATTGATTGGATTTATCGTATGCCGTTACCAAATTTGTTCATAAAGGCGTTTTCATTGATTTATAAAACTAATGCTTGACGTGTTGTAGACTGTCAAACCCTCGGAGTGCAGTTCTCTTTAAATCTGTGTGTATTTGTCTCCTTGCTGCTCCAATACTCCAATTCAGTGGAGCAGTTCTTTGGAACAACGAACGCTGGAAGATGAAAAATTATATATATGTATATATAAATTGTTTAAATGCTCAAAAAATAACTTTTTAGACTTTACCTAAAGGAGCTAACACGTATTTCTAGAAGCAAATCCATTTTATACTGAAAATACAAGATTAATTATTGCAAATATTAGTATTGGAAAACTATAAGTACACTATAGTTATATTCGTGTCTTAAATGGGAGTTAAAGCCATGCTTTAACAGCAGTTTGCCCTTAGCCTCTTGACGTGGTCTGACAAATGCAGAATATATTCGTAAGTTTAACGCCCGACTGCAGATAAAAAAAATCGTGGTAGGAGACACATTTGTAAGTTTATCGCCCAATTGCCGATGAAAAAATTATTGACGGAAATGTTGCTGTTTGATTATTGCCTACGGAGTAATGGCCGTAGTAAAACTAGAATTTTAATATCTTGAAAACGAAATAAGAACCTAATGATTAAAATCTGACGATATACATATGTGCAAAGGTATGTATGTGTGTAGCTATTCCCAACTCTTACATCCTCATACTTGATGGTAGGGCTGACATTTATTAACTAAGCATATTTAGCACCCTTGTATCAAATCAATACGAACTTTCCGGTATTAGTGGAGTATCATTACTAGCCGCCTCTTTATTATCTGCAGCTTCAAATACCTTTACTAAATCAAACATGAAAGAAAAAAAAAATGGCACACACTGGAATGAACTAATAACTTTTATCTGTGTATCCTGAATAGGTTGGATATGAAATCTCAAGACATTGTAACAATCTGCACCTCCTACAATTGAAATGCTGGTATTTTGCAAATATTTCAGCTGTCTAAATCACGATATAGATTTTGATAGCACTTGCAGCAGCAAACCTCTATCTACTTCATTTTCTTTCCAAGACCCAATGTCAGCCCAAAGAACCTTGTAGGGATTAGCTTGTGCTTCACTTATGCCTTGGAACTATACAGCTAAATGTTATGACTGGACAGGAATTAATTCTTGGGAGTTCTGATGCACTCGTGTACAAAATTGAAACCATCAGTAGAACAAACCAACGAATTAAAAACCGATCGTAGAAGAAAATTGCACTAATCTGCTATACTCACGGACAAACCAATGAAGCAAACGAACGAATTGAAGTAGAAGAAAGGAATTAGAAAATCTGCGAGAATCGCAGATATGTGTATGAAGTCGAGTCGGAACAGCGGAGTTGCCCATCTAGTTCGAAATGTTCTTCTTTCCCCAATAAACACTTTTTTTTACCGACATAAGCCTTTTTCTGACAGGACGCACCGATTCCAAATACCTTAATTGAAACCGAACAAGTAACACGGGATTGGACAAGTTGAGTCAAGTGTTTGGTTATGGAACGTTCAGATCAATATGCACAGCCTACTTTATATTGTAGACGTATTTTGTAAACTGATTTGTTTTAAACATAAATTCCAAAGATAGCTTTAAAGTATTGTACATAATTTATATAAAAACCTACTTTTTCACCTTAGGTACTTGCCGATTTCTTCCACCTACTATGCGTATGGCGCTCCTCTTTCGTTCTCCAAAAATTTCTTTTATGTACACTTCGCAGTTATTACATTTCTTCATTCTCCTCTATTCTACTGTACACAGTCTTGCACGCACATGATGTACGTGCGATGGGGTAAAACCATGGTTGCCATTTTCGCCGAAATGTACCATTTTTGGAACATTTTTTCCAGTTTGGTACACTGGTACATACCTTTCAGATTTGGTACGTTTTTGATATCTGGTACAAGATAATTGTTGCTGACATCATATAAGTACCTATTTAATAATCTGACACAGGTAATTAGAAAGTATTGCACTATAAATATCCATAAATAGCCACTTGGGCGTTCCTTGGCATTTCAGCTGCGTTTCATAGTACATCATATGAAGCAAAATCAAAGGCCATGGCAATAAACCATATTTCTAATATAATTAGTGCATGTATCAAAAGTGAATGCAGAGCTATAAGGCAGAAGAAGTTATGAGACAGTAGGCAACGCTTTTTGGCTTTTTTTTTGTTCATCTACGTGGTGGCGGCAACATTGCCTCTAGATTGCAGGTAACCATAATACTGATTGAGAAATGGTGCTCTGAAAAAGGTCTATCAATAATTGCACTGAAGTCTACCATCGTCAACTCCACCAAAAGCGACTAAACCAACAGGGCTTAGTTCCAATTGGAAATTTCGAATATTTAGTCATCGCTGAGGGGATATCTAGAGTAAACATCAAGGCTTGTGGACAACTGAAAGACTGTATTGGTTATTTAATTAAGCACGCATAACAGGATAATGGTAGCCCTTTGGTTGGTACCGGGACATGGGGGTTATTATGGCAATGAATACGTTGATCGAGTTTATTCGCTCAACTAAGAATAATAAAAAACTGTTCGTCCATGTTGGTTTATAGAGAATTTTTCTTAAGGTAGGTCTGTTAACGCGAATACGCAAAAAGTTTGTTAACTATATCACCAACGTTTATTTTTAAAATGTTTGAATAATTAAATCTATAACTAAAATATATTTCGGCAAATTTTTTACATACATTATATTTTTACTGGAAAGTGGCAACCGTGGGTAGAACCGTAAAAACATTATTGCCATATCATATTTATTTTCATTTTAAGTATTACCCGCACAATGAAGTGAAAATAAAAAATTATAAAAATATGCCTGTATAACTGCATTCAACATCGGAATAAATATTTGTGATAATTACTATATAAAATACTTATTAAATAAAAGTTGGGTGTCCCAAACCATTAAATATTATAAGGTAAGGCTTACAAAATGTAATAAAAGCTATTTTTGGTTATTTACAGCAAAAAAAAAATCAACAATAAAAAAAAACTAACAATTTTAATGTATTAAAAGTTACGAAAATAACGTTTTAAAATTTGTAAATATTTTCGTTGGTATATAAAACTGACTGTTCTATTTCAAATCAACATGAAATCTAGCTCAATTTCCTATTTTAGTTCTGCGTGAAACTTTGATTTTCCGTTTCCCTAAAGCTTGCTACAGCAAAGAATTCCATTTGTATTCTTTTGGACGCTCACACACATCTGTCAAAACTTGTCGTTCAATGTGAATGCTTTGCGTACGCACACAGTTGAGTATGAGCTTGAAAAAAGGGGATATTATGCATCTTCGTGAATATTCTCGAAGTATAAAACTGCTGTTATACATGCATTTGTATTGGTTTCGTTCCTGAAATTTTCTGCTTAAAACTGTCCAAAAGCAAAATTGCTCAGAGGAAAAGATAGAAAAACATAAAATTACAGGAACGCTTCGGGAAAAAAACTGGTTCTCGGAAATACATCGTAGACGCAATTTTTTGGGTTGGGCCATTAAGCCGGATATGTTTTAGGAAACCAAGACCATAATTTCCTAACTTTTAAATTAAAGTATTATTTTAAAATTTTACATTGCAAGACAACGGGCCGTATGAATAAAAAATAAGCGATTTCTTTTTCTAAAAATTTCAGACCTTTTCCTCGATTTTACAAAAAAAAATTTAATAGGCATCAAATGTTAAGAAAAAGCAATTCCTTAATTTTTATTCAGCCGACTCAATGTTGCAATTTAAATACCTAAGGTGCGGTTAAACGTGGCAATAAAGCGCTTTTTCAAAAGTCTACTTTCCAGTGTAAACAGCCAGAAAGTCCTTTTTGTAGATTTGCAGAAATCACTTTCGGAAATAAAGATTGCAAGGTGTAACTGCAACTCTGCAATTATCCTTCCTTAATTTTTATTCAGCCGACTCAATGTTGCAATTTAAATACTTAAGGTGCGGTTAAACATGGCAATAAAGCGGTTTTTTAATTTTTGTATGACCATAAAAGTGTTTCGTAACATAGGTGAAAGTGGGCTTGTCTGCATTCACCGTGTAAACAGAGTAAAAGTAGTAACGGAAAGTTGATTTTCAGAAAGAAAAATTGCTTTCGAAAGCCACTTTACATGCAGAGTGTAACTGTTCCTGCAATCTCTTTTGGAAGTTTTTGTGTTTGACAGACTTATGAAAAGGACTTGCTTGACTTGCGTCTAAAGGCTCTGTTATGCATACTTGGCATTGCATGCACTGCTATACCATT